GCCTCCTGGGCCTCAGGGAAGCCTCCTGGGCAAAGCAATAAGAGAGTGAGGGGGATCCTGGAACAGCTGATCATTGGAAGGGGAAAAAAAGAAATACCTTAAGGAGTGACTGGGTGGGGAGAACATGTTGGGCATGCACATGCGATGCTGTGCATGCGTGATAAGGACTGACTTGGTGGGGAGGGGAGGGGCAGATGGAGAGGGGCGGGGCCAGCCATGGGCATGATTTGCTGGTCCTCTGAACTGTGCAGAATCATAACTACCGGTTCTATAGAATCAGTCCGAACCAGTAGAATCCCACCCCTGCAAAAACCTCTGTCCTCAATTGTATATCCTTCTTTTAAAATCTTCTGAATCAACATGTGTATCTGAATAAAAAAAAATGTAGCTTTTTTACTCATCCACTGAACATGATAACATGATATGTCCCTTCTTGTTATTCCCATTTCCAGAATATATATTTTTAGACAATTTCTCTGAAGATATGTATCAACAGTAAGCAATTTTATAAATTACAAAAATAATTTTATAAAAAAATATTTTTAAGTTTATAACATAATATATATAAGTAAAATTTTAAATTCAAGTTTAAGAACTTTTTAAAAATGTAATAAACAGCAAAAATGAATAAAAATTGATTTTAGAAAGTTATAAATGGACTAAGGATCCAGATAAATTTAGAATAAGCTTTTGGAATCAATTATAAAGAATTTTCCCTGTAGGAAAATGTTGACACTAGTAACCTTCAGAGTCCATTCTTGTATCAAAAATATCCTTCAATTGGCCTAATATTAGAATAATTTGCTTCATTCTGTAACTATGTCAAGTTTGTGTGTTCTTTTTAATTGTAGTCTTTAGTTCCCTCTAATGCCCAATTTTTTAAAAAATGTTATTTTTTTTCTTTTTAAATTCAAAACAACAGCATTTTCCTACAGGGAAAATTCTTCATAATTAATTCTAAAAACTTATTTTAAATTTGACATAGTTACAGAATGAAGCAAATTATTCTAATATTAGGCAAATTGAACGATATTTTTGATACAAGAATGGATTCTGAATGTTATTAGTGTCAACAGAGACATCTGCCTCTATGAAGAGTCTGCATCTAAAAATGTTATGGAAGAGGAACAAGTACTACCTGACAAGAATGAGCTGAAAGTGTATTTACAAATTTTTGTAAATTTTTACAAATGTATTTATTTATTTAGAATATGGCAATGTTAAATTAACCAGGAGATTACAATGCTAATGCAGAATTGTAGTTTGGCTGCCTGTTAGCTAGCCCTGTTTGGTTCCCACTCAGGTGCTTCTTAAGATGTGCCACATGAGGGCGAGCTGGCTCCACACCAGCAAGAAAGACATGTGGCTTTCCTGTAGCAACAGCATCCAAGGCCCTCTCCCTCCACTGAAGCTGCTGTACCAACAGGCATTGCAACTTGGAAGGTTCAGTACCAGCAGGATTCTAACTGTCTGCACAAAGTGCCACCTCTTTCCCCCCACCAAAGTAGTACCTATTTATTTACTCATGTGTAGCATGCTAGGAGGGCAGAAGCTGAACAGGAGCTCACCACACCACATAGTGCTAGGATTTGAACCTCTGGAGCAAAGATTATCTCCAGTGTCATTAAGTGACTAAGCCACCATGCCTCCCATATTTATAAATGACAGGCAACAACATGGAAAAAGATGTTATACTGAGTGTATAGAAGATGTCTAATATCTTCATTAAAAGCAATATACAAATGATGTTCAATTAATATGTCAAGAGAGTGATCTGATAATTTTCCTATATTCAATTTACAAAAGAGTTATTGTTAAAATTTTGAAGAATCTCAAGGGAAGAGAGAAAGAAACAATGGAAAGAGAGTTCTACATCATTATTTGATGTTGATCACTAAACATCAAGACTGTTAGAAGTGAAAGGAATATAAAGTTAGTTTATTTGATCAAGGTTAAAATAAATATGTTATTCCTCGTAACTTTAAAAATGACTGAAAGGACTGAAATGACAATGCATTATGGATTTGCTTCTAGTTAAGAGATGTTATATGGGAAGGAGAGATCATTTCTGCATTGTTAAGAGGAGGTGATAATTTACTAGAATTATGCTTGTTGGGATGTCACTTCTTTATTTCTTTTTTTCCTTTATTATATCCTTTTGTCTTTTTTTTCTATTTTGCACCTTCTTTTTATACTCATATTTTTTTAATCTGTATTGTTTTACTTGTAAATATAATCTTTAATAAAGTATATACAAATACATACAGTACATACACACACAAACACACACACACACACAAATAACAAATAATTCTCTCTCTCTTTCTCTTTCTCTCTTTTTCTCTCTTTCTCGATGTGTGTGGGTGTGTATAAAATCAGTGGCATCCAAAGGACATATGGTTTTAATGATGTCAGATATTTTAGCACTTGCATGCAGGCTTCTGCTGGCAACCCAGTTCATAAAAGGTGGGTTCTCTTTGACCTTGGTGTTACCAACAGTAACTCATTACAGATTTTCTTCTCTCTTTCTCCCTCCCTCCTTCTTCCAGATTTGCTAAACTTCTTCTCAGACTGCCTGCACTGAGATCTATTGGTTTGAAATGCCTAGAACATCTCTTCTTCTTCAAGCTAATTGGTGATACCCCTATTGACACCTTTCTTATGGAGATGTTAGAGACACCTCTGCAAATCACCTAATGAGGACAGGATGCTAACAAGAAAGTGCAAATGACACCACTGAAGAGGTTTTGTTCCTGATCTGCCTGCTTTCACCCATTCCATTCTCCTGAACATTTGTATGGAATGACTTTCAGAAAGGAATAGGAACTCCTATAAGTGTTTAGCTTTTAAAAAAATGGAATGTTGTTCATTTGCAAACTTTTAAATAGCGGCTAGGAGGAACCGGGCATCCTGCAGCTCATTGAAAGTTACTTGTAGCTCATCACAAAATACTTGTATGAAAGATTGAATTTAAACTATTTTTTTCACTTCCCAAAAGATGAGAAATAAAATATATGAATACTTAGTACGGAAGTCACTGCTGAGGTCTTGCTTACTGGGTATCCTGAAGAGTGGAGTCACTCTTACAACATGTCACTTATATCTTTGTATACTTATGTTCATATTTTACCCAGAATATATATACACATGATAAGAAACTTGCACTAGATATTGTTGACATCATAATTCCAAGATGGAACAGGATAATTTGGAATAGACTTCCATTCATTTACACGATCTGAACCTGGGCCTGTTTTATTTTAGATAGCAAAACCACACACATGACTCCATATTTTATTTTATTATTTTGTTGTGACAATATTTATAAACAACCCGTTCAGCATGTTCCAGGTTCATACTACAATATAACTTTACATGGGAATGAAATCAATTCTCCAAAGGGGCAATCTTTACACAATTACTTTGTAAATATTCCTGTTCTACTTCGTTATGCACAAGGTGGACAATACCCAAATGTCCAAACCTATTTGTAAGTAGGTTTATTCAGTTCAAATTCTCATTACATAGAATAGCTCAAATCAGAACAAGGAGGTTGAGCTATTTGGCCTAAGAACAAACTTTCATGATGCTGCTTCTGTTCTCTTGTGTTCCTGGTCAAAGCATTCTTAACATTTTGCTAGAAGTCTACCACCCCCCCCCCCCCCCAAATTATTACATTACTCTTATGAGGCACCAGAGGGCTCCCACACACAAAAGGATAGCAGAACAGGAAGGATTGGGAAGAGGGAGGTGGAAAAAGGAGGTAAAATTAGAATATTTAAAATCTAAAACTGAAAGATAGTGGTCTCCATAACAACCATCAAATGAGGATGACAAGGATGTGTTGTATGCATGTAGTTATGTTTTATATATTTTGGGCAACAAAAAGCATACACATATCTTATAATTCCTTATGTCCACATTTAATATTTCTTCTGTATTTTACTGTTCTGTTTTTAAATAGTTTGTGAAATTGCTGCTTATAATGCATCCTATTCAACCCTTTTCTATTTTTCATTTTTAAAAAGAGACGAAATCATACTTTATTTGTATAAACACAAAATAACCCAATCAGAAGAGTGACTATAAATCTAAAATTTATATTATTGTGCACTTGAACTTACATAGATCATGCATCTCTGTGATCAAATACTCTATCTTCAAGATAAATATAAAACATAATGAAAATAAATGATTACATGCAGCAAAATGTCATAATGATAAGTGAATACAAAAAACCCCAAATGTCTGAAGTGTTGAGCCCCACGATTATCCTTGGGCTTTCTCAAATATCTCAAATCATATTTCAGGATGATTAAAGATTTTGTCTCATCCAGCCAAAGCTTTCTTCAATGCATAGAACAAAAGTATGTCATAACCAGTGATGGGATTCAATTTTTTTTACTATCGGTTCTGTTGGCGTGGCTTGGTGGGTGTGGCAGGGGAAGGTTACTGCAAAATCCCATTCCTTTCCCATTAACCTGCTTTCCAGCTCTGTTCTCCTGTGCAGGGCAACAAAAGAAGACGCAGCCAATCAGCTGGGGCTTGGGAGGCAGAGAATAGATTGGGGCGGGGCCAGTCAGAGGTGGTATTTGCCGAACTACTCAAAATTTCCACTACCAGTTCTCCAGAACTGGTCAGAACTTGCTGAATACCACCTCTGGTCATAACTCTTTATTGGAAATTAGGAGGAATGCCTAAAGAGCTGAACTTCTGCCTCTCAAAATATTCTTATGGCACTCCCAAATTATATGTCCATGTCTATGGAAGCATAACCTTAGTGTTATACCATCTTTCTGTTCTCTCATCATAAAAACATATGAATCAGGTCTTTAAAACTTAATTAGGTTCTTTTTTTTGTATAAAGCTACATTTTCCTTTGTCCTCTGTAAATAAATTAATATTGAGTTTGATTTAGAATTTTCGAATAAACATGTGGGGAGGAGGGAGCCTTAGAGGAAGATCTTTTGTCAGAAAACTAATTGACATCATCTTCTTCACTGATAATTATACAGTTATCTTAGATTTTATAAACTTTCCTTAATGGTTTGTTAAGTTCCGTCTAATTTTCCATATATTCATATTTTACTGCATTTACAGAAAAGCATTGGACTAGGTCTGATTCATCGGCATGGCACAAATGATTTATACCTGCTCCTGTAAGAGTATTATTTCTGCTGTTCCAAAGTATTTTGGGTGCAGAATCATAGTTGTTTGCTTATATTTATTTTCTACAAAGTTGCCATGAGGTTGCAATGAAGGCCCAGGCTGTTTTAGGCTGGACCTACAAAGATGTACATATCTTTTGAAAAAAAAAACCTTTTAAAAAAAAAGTTTACATAACTGTTTGGGAATCTGATTCCTAGTGTCTCTGCATGAGTGAGAATGTAGAACATGTGCATATTTTTAAAAAATTTCTCTACAACAAACTAGTAAAGAAATATCTTACCAGCTTTGGAATTCTCAAAAAGTTCTCCCTGACTTAAGAATTCCTGAGATAGTGGACAGTTTAAATCATAATTTTCTTCTCTACGTATCTTTTTAAAAATAATTTGTCTGAAATGTATATGAAATGTAATTAATTAATTGGCTATAAAGAGGTGGAGACTGTTCTTCAGGCTACAGAAGAGTACTATGCAGACTTTCCTAAATTAAATAGTCCCCAGAATATAAAAAATGAATGCAATATTTTGTGTACGATTCAAATTGGTTTGTACATTTAATACAATTGTTATTTCTCCTCACTTTAATGGAGTGGGCTGCACTCATTAAGCTCTCTAGGAAAAGTTTAAGAATAGAATGGTCTCTATTTAAGAGTTCCTAAAAATCAAGATATTTTGTTAATGGCACCCTGATTATCACTTCCACACCATTATAGAAGTGGGGAGAAATAATAATTGTGGATATACAAATTAATCATAAATAGGAGAGCAGAATGGTCAAACAAGTGGCAACTTCAAATCTCAACAAACAAATGCTCTGTCTTATATATTGGCAAAATAAATCCAAAAATAAAATACAAGCTGAATAGTCAAGACCTTGTTGATGACCCCCACTATGTCAAGGGCCTTGGAGTACTCACCTCTAATGATCTTAGTGCTAGAGCCACTGTAACTCTATAGCCAAAAAGGCATTAAGAGTTGTTAACCTAATCCTATGTAGCTTTTTCTCTGGTAATATCACACTACTAACTAGAGCATACAAAACATTTGCTAGACCAATACTTGAATGCAGCTAATCAATCTGGAACCCACATTACATATTGGATATTAATACAGTTGAGAAAGTCCACAAATATTTCACGAGAAAAGTTCTCCATTCTTCGACTTGTAGCAGAATACCTTATGCCACCAGACTTGACATTTTAGACCTAGACAACCTAGAACTATGCCGTGTTTATCTACTGCAATGTCCTACCTGTCAATGAATACTTCAGCTTCAATCACAACAACACAAGAGCACACAATAGATACAAACTCAAAGTAAAATGCACCAAACTTGATTGCAGGAAATACAACTTCAGCAAGAGTGGTCAATGTCTGGAATACTCTACCTGACTTCTTCCCCAAACCCCCAAAACTTTAACCTTAGACTGTCTACTATTGACCACACCCCTTTCCTAAGAGGTCTGGGGGGGGCGTGCATAAGTACACCAACGTGCCTATCGTCCCTGTCCTAATGTTTCTTTTTTATTTGTATCCATTTCATGTATTTTTAAAACCATATACCTGTTATCTAATACTTGCTTGAAAAAATAAATAAATAAAAATAAAATAAATAAACACTGATAGAATATACAATTGACCTATACTACTCAACAGCCACAATGAAAAATAGCAAATTATCAGAATTCTGGAAAAATGTTTTATAGATAATATAATAGCCACAGTTAAGAAATATTATATGGTACATAAACAAAATATATAATATGAATGGAGTATCAAAAGAAATTGGTGTACAAGTATCCTATAGAATTTTTCAATTTGTTGAAGAATATGTCTCCTTCCTTATATGAAATTTTATAAACAAAAACACACACATATACTGCATCTAAAGGTTGAATCATGGCAACTGGACCAAACTTTGTTAATCTGAGATGTTTTGTTGGTCATACAAACAACTTCATCAGTCAGAGCAAAATTAGTTAGGCAGTGAGTCAGAAAGTTGTTAGAATGTACCAACTCTTTTCACACGAACTTCAGGGGTTTCTCCTGAAAACTAATTTTGCTCTGACTGAAGAAATTGCTTGGATGAGCAACAAAACATCTCAGATTAACAAAGTTTCAGTTGCCATGATTCAACCTTTGGCCTGGATGATTGAGTCTTCATTGACATACACACTGTACATATGTGAGAGAGATTTCTTATTTGATGTAAACTTTCTCATTAAGATCAATAAGGTCTTTAACCTGGGATCCAAGCACAGGATGTGAACTGATTTGATATGATTGCTTTTGCTTTCAGCATTTGACAATTCAGTCATTTCTGAAGTTTTGAACCAACTATTATTGAGATTTGCATCAAATTAGAAATCCCTTCCTTCCTAGGACTCCAGGATTGGTCATTTCCACATCTAAGTTTCCAATTAATTCTCATCACATTCCCCTTGTTGGGTCTAGGACAACTCAGTTCAGTCAGTTTGACATAGCCAACTCAGCATGATCAGCTTACCACCACCAAGTCACCTCTGCCAACTCATCGCCTCCAAGTTGTTGCAGGACAACTCAACACAGCCGATTTGCTTGGCGATTCATGTTATTACAACTGGAACAGATGGGCTTTGGTGAAAAATTTATTCAAGCAATAGAAGCTATATATCATAAGCAAACGAGGTAATGATAGAGGAAGACTCTATTGATATAAGAAAAGGGTGCCCACTATCACCTTTGTTCTTGTATTAACCTTGGAAGTGTTAAAC